CAAAAGTAGGTATGCAAAAATTATTAATTTTTCACAGCACAATGGAATGCTTTGGAATCACCATCAAATTTCTTTTATACAATCTTTTTTTTTTGAAAATGGGTATTTTAAATAACTATAAAATGAGTGACATTTTGAACATACCAGGAACATTGATTACTTAATGGAAATAAACAATATAAAGAAAAATCTTTTGATTGATGCATTCTCAAACTTTAGGGGTTAATTTAAGTGAATTTCTACCTAGCAAATAAAATTTGAATCCAGAATAATATAAAATTCTCATGTCCCATATGTTAAAAAAATATGGGAAGCAGCCCAAAGATGGTTTTATTCACTTCTGAAAAAAGGATATGAAGTTACAGTTATACCTGGCGATAGGAAATTCAGACACTCAAAATCAGATTTGTACATTTGATAAATTATTTTAAGGATTCTTTGAACAATGCCATCATCTATCACTGTGAATCTGCTCCTGCAAATGTGCACACATATCCTGAAATAATGTAGCCAATATGGTACATTTTGAATGTGTTATAAAAAGGACAGATTTACCTGAGACAGTTTGCCTTCAAGATGGTTGCATGTCGTGGCATTTCTAGTTCATATGGATCAATGATACTTAGATAGCAGGCATTTGATCTTCAAACTCCTACAAATGTAAATCCAGACATCTGTTCTTACAATGGGGAGTGCTGGTGAGGCTTCGTCAGCTTATGTTGGAGGCAGTGATTAAAACGCAATGTGACTTCTAAAAATTATTGAGGTTTTATTTTAGATGCTTCTTTCCCCCCATGGAGAATGATTTAGTCTTTTGCGGTCCTCATCCACATTTCCTCTGGCTAATCTCCACTTATCAGCATCTGGAACTCAAATATTGATCATACGAGAGAATTTGCTAGCTCAGAACCATGGCCAAGTTTACACAAGACTTCAAACCTTTTTGCTTATGCCATAGTTAATCTCCAGTAATAACTTCTGAAAGCCTTTGAAAAAGTCTGGGAGTGGCTTTCCATTGGAGGACTTAGGAAACTATATTTTTGCACTGTGAAAACATAATCATGCCAGATACAGCCAGACTGTTTATCTGGTACCATTAGTTTTCTTGGTTTACACTATAACAGTTAACCAAGATTACTGGAGCAGAATCACAAGAATTTATATTTGCTAACTAGCAGGTGTTTTGCATTTAAAAATTCTGTGCATAATTGGTAACATTTTCGAGAGTGCTGGCGAGGCTATGGTTGAAGGCAGGAAAAGAGGAACAAAGATCAGACAAGTAGAAAACAAGCATTAAAATGGTAAACCTAAAAATATCAACAATTTTCTTAAGTGGAAATGGGTTAAAAACTACAGTAAAAAATGGAGATTGTCAAACTGGATAATAAAGTATGCCCAATTATTTACTATTTACAAGAAGCATACCTAAATAAAGACACTAATGGTTAAAAAGTAAAGCTGTGGAAAAGATAACAGTAGGCATTATAAAGCTGCTATAGTTATACTATCAGACTAAGTAAAAGGTAACACTGAAGAAAAAGCATTATCAAATGTAAAGGAAGACATTCCAAAATATTTAAGTGGTCAATTTATCGAGAAGACAGCAATCTAAATGCACATAGATGTTATTAGAATGCTTCAAAATTCATAAAGGAAAATTTGAAGGAACTAAAGTGAGAAGAAGACCAATTCCCATCGTAACTAGAAATCAGAGACTTTAATATCTCTTGATCAAGAATTGATACAAGTAGTCAAAAATAATTCAGTAAAAATATAAAAGATTTGAAATAACTCTATCAACCAACTTGACCTGATGAACATTTATAGAATGATACAACCAATAACTACAGACTAGACATTGCATTTTAGGTGCATAAAACAATTCAAGATAGAATATATGTTGGGCTGTAAAACATGTTACGGTAAATTTTTAAAGATTGAAGTATTACAGTTTTTTCTCTGAATATAACAGAATTAAAATAGAAGTCAATTACAGTAAGATTTCTAGATAAGCACTAAATATTTGTGCTAAATATTAATGTAAATATATGTTGAGTTTCTTTTTGAGTCAAGGTCTCATTCTGTTGCCCAGGCTGTAGTGCAGTGGCACAGTCATGACTAACGATGGCCTTGACCTCCTGGGCTTAGGTGAACCTTCTGCCTCAGACTCCCAAGTAGCTGGAACTATAGGTATGTGCCACCGTGCCTGGCTAATATTTTGATTTTTTTGTAGAGATGGAGTCTTGCTATGTTGCGTAGGCTGATCTTGAACTCTTGGGCTCAAGCAATCCTGCCTTCTTGCTTCCCAAAGTAGCAAATATTAAAATAAAAATCACTAAATATTTGGAAATTAAACACCACACTAATTAAAAAATAGACCCCTCCAAAAAAAAAAACTCAAAGGAAATTATAAATATTTTGAACTGAATGACAATGAAGACACAGCAGATCAAAGTTTGTAGGAGGCAACTGAAGGAGTACTTAGAGAGAAATCTATAGATTTAAATACACATATTAGAAAAGAAGGAAGGTATAAAATCAGTGATCTATGCTTTCATCTTAAGAAGTTAGGAGTTTCTCTGCACATATTCTAGTTTGGGGAGTTGCTTCCCCCAAAAAAAGAAAAGAAAAAGAAGATATAGAAGAAGAACAAATTAAATCCCAAGTAACTGGGATATGGAAATTTTTTTAAAAAGTGAAAGTCAATGAGCCAGAAAATAGACAACAATATAGAAAAATCAAGAAAATAATACTTGGTTTTTAAAAAATGATTAATAAATTTGCTAAGTACATCATACAATTTATTAAGGAAAAAAGGAAACACTAAAAACCAAATTCAAGCTTAAAAAGAGAGATCACTGCATTTTCTCAGACATTAAAATAGAAACTAGGATATACTAAAAACATTTTTCCAACAAACACCACAACTTTGATGAAATAGAAACTTTTTGAACACACTGCTGGTGGGAATGCAAACTAGTTCAACCTCTGTGGAGGCTTTAAAAGAACTAGAAATTGACCTTTCGTATGACCCATATGACCTTCCAGATGACCCAGCAATCCCCCTACTGGGAATATACCCAGAGGAACTCAAATCATTCTACAAAAAAAACCCCCCAAAACCTGCACACGCATGCTTATTGCAGTATGATTCACAGTAGCAAAAACATGGAATCATGTGCTGCCCATTGAAACTGGACTGGATAAAAAAATGTGGTACATATACACTATGGAATATTATGCAGCCATAAAGAAGGACAAACATATGGACTTCATAGTAACTTGGACGGATTTAGAGTCTATAATACTCAGTGATCTATCACAGAAACAAAGAACAGAGTTCCATATGTTCTCACACTCATAAGCAGAACCCGAACATTTACCATAATACTTTAAGAAAGGGATTGGCAGTAGCGGGTTACTGCCTGGAGGGGGTGGGGACACAATATCAATAAGGGTACCTGATCTCAAACCAGGCAAAGTGGGGACAAAGGGAAGCCCAAACTTTACCTCTATCATGCCCACTTGTATACCTAATCCTGAACTGACCTCACATCTTAAAGAAAAAAAAGTATATATATATATATAAAACTTAAAAAAGAAAACACAACTTGTCAAAATGGACACAGAGAGAAATAAAAAAAATAGAATAGTCTTGTCTCAGTAAAAATTTGAATTAAAAACCTTGATACAAACAAAGATTCAGGTACATAGGACTTCACTGGTGATTCTATCAGATATTTAAGGAAGAAATAATACCAATTTACACAAACTTATTCAGGAAATAGACGGGGAAGAATATTTGCGCACCCGTTTTATGATGACTATGTTACACGCATGCCAAAAACAGAGAAGGAGTTTTTCAGACACACACACACACACACACACACACACACACACACACACACACACACACACAGAGAGATAATATGTCAGTTTTGAGCCCAGTACTGTCAATTCTGAGGTTCTTTAGCCATGACCTTTTTATTTTTATATAGTACATGCCACAACATAATGCCTTGGCAGGATTGCCTCCCTTCACTAAAGCTGAGGTTTGATCCCTTAGCATGAGAGTTACTTGGTTTATTCAGTTTTTGACTACTGATTTTATGCCCTCTGAGAAACAAATGTTTCAATTTTCTGAAGCATGAAGGATACTTGTAGGGAGAGACTACTAGGCGTCTTTAGTCAATTGCTATAACAAAATACCATGGAGGGGTGGCTTAAACAACAAGCAATTATTTCTCACAGTTCTGGAGGCTGAGAAGTCCAGGATTGAAGTGCTGGCTGATTTGATCCTGTTGAGGACTCTCTTGCAGATGACTGCCTTCTTGCTGTATCCTTACTTGGCAGAAACAGAGAGAGCTGTTTTCTCTTCCTCTTCTTATGAGAGTACTAATCACATCATAAGAGTCATGGGGGTCCCTCATGACTTCATATAAACCTAATTACCTTCCAAAAGTCCTACTTTTAGATACATTGTATTGGGCATCAGAGCTTTATCATATGAATTTTGGAGGAACACAAAAATATAGTCTATAGCAAGACATAAGTTTCCTCAATCAGAAATTGGCATATTTAGTAAGAAGTTTTAGATAGATGCTAGATTAATAGATAGATAACAAGTAAATAGACATGGAGACATTATTAAGGGGGTAAAGGAGATAATTAAATATAAAATAAATTTAATTATTTATATTTCAGCATGTAGGGGATACTCAATAAATGTTTGTTATTGACTGAAATAATGCTGTCATGCTTTTAACACCATACTTATCACATACATAAATACTTAGTAGTGTTTCTTTTACATACTTATGAAATTAATGTCATGACCGACTAAAAAAATAAACAGAAGATGAGTTCAGGTTTGTTAGTGTATTGTGTTAAAATTGTCATTCAGATTATGTGCTCATTTTGTTTTACTCCTGTATAAAATGTTTTGTGCATTGTTAAACTGCTAATAATAAACACCTTGTCTCTTCCTCTTTCTCTTTTAGGGCTTTTTTATCCTGAATTGTCCAGACTTAACATCTTTGGCTTTCCAATTGATATATCTTAATTTATCATTTAATGATATTTGTTGCTTTCCCACAGAAGTGAGTCCATCATTATTATTATATACTGATGTAATATATTATTGTGAATGATAATCATAAAAAGTGACATATTTTAATACCTTGAGATTATTATAAAGCACTATACATATATTTTGGATTGTATCCAAAAAGGCTTATTTTCAGAAGTGCAAAAAGTACACTACATCTTTCCGAGGAAGTTCCATGATATAGTTCTCAAAGACTGTTATAGTCAGGCACTCATATATGTTCTCATAATTGTGCAGTGTACATTAAATAATTTATTAACTCTTCTAACTCTGAGGAAAGCCTGAAGTAATCCTTACCTATGTGCTAATCAGAAGTTCTAAAAGCCAAGTTAGTAACCAGGTAATGGAACAAGTTTCAAAGTTACCATAGACTGAAATAGAATTATTCTGCTTAATAAAATGTATCAGGAACAATCAGATATGGGATGAGCTAATTTAGTGCCGTTAAATTAAATAAGCCATTATGAATAAATTAGGGTAAATTGTGTTTCCAGTGTCTTTGTCTTTAGTCATGCTTCATTGATGACTGACTGATTGGTTATTTTGTGAATTTCAGAGTATTGGCTTGTAGTGAATTGATTTTTGACAAATTCAACTGCTTTCTATTTCAAACATATAGTATTGAAAATATGTATTTTCCATACTTTCTCACTAATATCATATTTGTATTTTCACTAGGAAGAGTTACTTTTAATTTTTCTAATACATACCACTCGTTTTAGTAATTGGATTAGAGCAAATTGACAAACATTCCCAAGAAATATAGGAGTCCAGGTTATTCATGTTAATTTAGCTTTCTAAATATACTCTGATAAAGCTGTATATCTGCCAAAAAATACTTCATCCACTAAAACAATGTATGAATATAAGAAAGCTATTTATAGGTAAGGTATAAAGTGCTCATTTTAAAAGTGACAGAAATCAATAGAACTTGTTATTAGAATGCAGATCTCTGTTATATAAGCTATAGATAAAAATATTCCACTGAGGATGGTAATATTCAGACTTAGAAGGGCTATACTGGGGGTAGGCTATTGATGCCCAGTTATTAGCATGGTATAAACAATGAATAGAAGACTGGGGGCTGCTGTGAGTAGAATGACTGAAATTATTACAGGTTTCATGGAAAATTCAACATGATGGTATTCAGGCAGAATACAGAGTCTCCTAAAATAGTTAAGGACAGGAGAAAGTAGAAGCAGAAATGTTCAATAAGAAGGGTAACATAACAAATAAATACACTTAGAAACACAAAAGATGAAATTACAATGACTCTGAAGAAATTCAAAAGATTAACAGAGGTTACTATGCACACCTGTATGAAAACAAACTTGAAAACCTAAATGAAATGTAGGACTTTCTGATATCACACAACCTTCCAAGGTTGAAACAAGAAGAAATTGAAATCCTAAATAGACCAATAACCATCCAGGGAATCGACTCTGTCATAAGAAAACAACATACCAGGAAAAAAAAAAAAAAGCCTTGTACTAGACAACTTCCCAGAATAATTTTACAAAACATACAAGGAGGAGCTGATACCAACCCCATCAAAAGTATTCCAAGCAATTGAGAAAGATGGAATTGTCTCCAAATAATTTTATGAAGCTAACATCGTGCTGATACCCAAACCTGGAAAAGACCCAACAAGAAAGAGAATCTCCTGATGACCATAGATGCAAAAATTCTCAACAAGATTCTAGCAAATCAGATCCAACAACACATCTCAAGAATCATCCACCATGACCAAGCAGGCTTCATTCTCAAGATGCAAGGCTGATTTAACATCTGCAAGGCCATAAATGTAATTCCATACACCAACAGATATAAAAACAAGAACCACATGATTATATCATTAGACACAGAAAAGGCTTTTGACAAAATCCAACACCCTTCTTGCTTAAAACCCTTGAGCAGCTAGGCACAGAAGGAATATTCCTCAAATTAGTAAACACCATCTACGATAAACCCATAACCAACATATTGCTCAATGGACAGAAGTTGGAAGCATTTCCTCTGAAAATGGGGACAAGACAAGGGTGCCCACTCTCACACCTACTATTCAATATAGTATTGGAATTCCTTGCTAGAGCAATCAGGCAAAAGAAGAAAAGCAGGGTATCCAAATAGGAAAAGAGAAAGTTAAGCTATACCTCTTTGCAGACGATATGATCCTATACCTTGAAAACCTAAGGGAATGTGTCAAAAATCTCCTTGCACTGATAAGTGACTTTGGCAAGGTCTCAGAGTACAAAACCAATGTGCACAAGACAGTTGCATTTTTGTACACCAACAACAAACAGATAATAAAAAGCACAATCCTATTCACAATAGCCACCAAAAAATTGAAATACCTTGGCATCTTCCTAACCAAAGAAGTGTAATACCTTTACAATGAAAACTACAAAACACTACTCAAAGAAATCAAAGAAGACACAAATGAAAAAATATTCCATGATCATGGATTGGAAGAACCAATATTGTTAAGATGGCCATTCTACCCAGGGAAATCTACAGATTGAATGCAATTCCCATCAAATTACCAACATTATTCTTCTCAGACCTGGAAATGACAATACAGAAATTCCTATGGAAACAAAAAGACCACAAATATCCAAAATAATTCTCAGCAAAAAGAAGTAAAGTGGGAAGTATCACACTTCCAGACTCACTAATAAACTTTATTATAAGACTACAGTAATCAAAAGAGTCTGATATTGGTACAAGAACAGTCATATAGGACAATGGAACAGGACAGAGATTCCAGAAACAAAACCTCAATTTCTCAACCAACTCATCTTCAACAAAGTCACAACAACAACCACTGGGGAGAGGAGACCCTATTCAGCAAATGGTGCTGGGAAAACTGGCTGACCACATGTAGAAAAATGAAATAGGACCCTTACCTATCACCATACACAAAAATCAACTCTAAATGGATCAAACACTAAACACAAAATTGCAAACTATAAGAATCTTAGAAAATGCAGGAGATACCCTTATGCACATTGGAATAGGTAAGCAATTCTTGATCATAACCCCAAAAGTGTATGCCATAAGAGATAAGATAGACAAGTGAGACCTCATAAAACTGAAAAGGTTTTGCAAAGGAAAAGAGTGGGGAGATAGCCCACAGAATGAGAAATAAATATTTGCTAACTGTATATCTGACAAAGGCCTAACATCTAGGACCTACAAGAAACTCAAATGTTACAAAAGGAAAAAATCAAACAGCCCCATTAAAAAATGGACAAAATACATGAATAGACAATTCTCAAAAGAAGACATTTGAACTTCTAACAGATACATGAAAAAATGCTCAGACTCATTAGTCATCAGAGAAATGCAAATCAAAACCACATTGAGATATAACCTAACACCAGTAAGAATGGCCATTATTAAAAAATCAAAAAACAACAGATGCTGGCGGGGATGTGGAGAAGAGGAAATGCTTCTCCACTGTTGGTGGGAGTGTAAACTAGTTCAGCCTCTATGGAAAACAGTGTGGTGATTTTTAAAAGATCTTGAAATTGGCCTTCCATCTGACCCAGTTTTTCCCCTTCTGGGAATATACCCAGAAAAACCCAAATAATTCTACAAAAAAGATATTTGCGCATGCATGTTTATTGCAGCACTATTCACAATAGCAAAAACATGGAACCAAGTGTGTTACCTATCAAAAGTGAACTAGATAAAGAAAATGTGATACATATACATGATGGAGTACTACACAGAAATAAGGGACAAAATTATGGACTTTGCAGCAACTTGGATGGATTTAAAGTCTATCATACTCAGTGATCTAGCAGAGAAACAAAGAACTGAATACCACATGCTCTCACTCATAAGTGGGTCCAGAACATTTATCACAATACTACGAGAGAGATCGGCAGTAGTGGGACACTGCCAGGGAAGGAGAGGCACATAGCATCACTAAGGGTACTTGATTCTAAACCAGGGGAAATGAGGGCCAATGAAAAGCCCAAACTTCATCTGTATGTAGAACACTTATACACCTAAACCTAATTGTACCCCCTGACATCTTTAGAAGAAAAAAAGAGGAGAAAAAAAAAAGTAAAAGCATGAGAAAATATATATCATGCAAACTGCAATAATAAGAAAGCTAGAGTGACTATACTAATATCAGAAAAAATATATTTTAAAATAAAAAAACTTACTAGAGATGAAGCAAAAACTGAAAGAATTGAAGGAAGAAATAGAAAATTCAACAATAATAGTTAGATACTTCAATATCCCACTTTCAATAATGCATTAAACAATTAGAAGAATAACCGAGAAATAGAAAGCGTAAACAACAGTATAAAACAATTAGACATAATAGATGTCTATGAAACACTCAAACCAATAGCAGCAAAATACACAATTCTCAAATTCACATAGAACATTTTCCAGTATAAATCATATGTTAGGCCACACAACAAGTCTCAATAAATTTAAAAGGATTAAAAATCACAAAAACTATTTGTGGCCATTATAGAATTAAATTAGAAATCAAAAACAGAAAAAAAATTAGTAAACTCACAAATATGTGAAAACTAAGCAACTCACTTTTAAGTAATCAGTATGTAAAAGAAGAAGTCAAAAGAGAGATTAGAAAACTGAGATGAATAAAAATAAAAACACAACATACTAAAATTCATGAGATGCATTTACAGCAATTCTTAGATTGCCTTAGATTGTAAATGCCTATATTAAAAACAAGAAGAAATATCACAAATCAATAAACTAGCCTTTCCTCTTAAAACACTAGAAAAAAAGAGCAAATTAAACCTAAAGTAAAAATAAGAAGAAAATAATAAAAATCAGTACAGAAATCAGTGAAATAGAGGCTAGAAAAAGTAGAGAAAATCAACAGAACTGGAAAGTTGTTACTTTGAAAAGATCAACAAAATTGACAGACCTCGTATAGACTGACCAAGGAAGAAAGGCAGAAGACTCAGATTACTAAAATTAAGAATGAAAAGGGGAACATCACTACTGACTTTTTGGAAATAAAAAAGATTTTTTTTTTTTTTTTTTTTTGAGTTGGAGTCTCACTCTGTCACCCAGACCGGAGTGCAGCGGCACGTTCCCAGTCACCGCAGCCTCGACCTGCTGGGCTCCGGCGATCCTTCCGCCTCAGCCTTCCAAGTAGCTGTAACTACAGGCGTGCGCTACCACGCCCGGCTGATTTTTTGATTTCTTGTAGAGATGAGGTCTCTCCAAGTTGCCCAGGCGGGTCTCGAACCCACGGGCTCAGGCAATCCACTCACCTCAGCCTCCCAAAGCGCAGGATTACAGGCTGAGCCACTGAGCCTGGCTATAAAAAAAATTTTAAGGAGGGAATGGGTGCATAACAACACAAAGGGTACCTAGTTTCAAACCAGGGGAAGTAAGGGCCAGTTGGAGGCCCAAACTTCACCTGCATGCAGCCTATTTCGGTAGTTAATCCTTACTTTGTACCCCACAGCTTTATAATAAAATAAAAAAGATTTTAGGAGAATACTATAAACTACTGTATACCAAACAATTAAATAACTTAGATGAAATGAACACATTCCTAGGACACAGAACAAGCTTAAGGAAAAAAAAATATGAATGACTCTATAACAAGTGAAGAGATTCAACAATAATTTAAAGAAAAGCCCATTATTAGATGGCTTCATGGGTGAATTTTATCAGCATCTAAAGAAGAATTAACGCCAATCCTTCACAAACTCTTCCCAAAAAATAGAAAAGGAAGGACCACTTCCCAGTTGGAACAATTAAATGAGGATTACTCTGATACCAAAACTAGAAAAGCAAATACAAAAGCAAATAAAAAAAAATAAGAAAAGCAAATACAAAAAATATCTCATGTAAAAAACCTCAAATCCTCAACAAAATGTTATTATACTAAATTGAGTCATATATAAAGAAGATTTTACACCATGACAAAGTAAAATTTATCCAAAGAATGAAATGTTGGTTCAACATACAAAAATCAATCAATGGAATACACCATATTGATATAATAAAGAGGAAAAAACTACACAATTGTCTCAACAGACACAGAAAAACACATCTGGGAAAGTTCAATATCCTTTTATAACAAAATCACTCAACATCTAGGAAGAGAAGGGGTCCTCCTCAACCTGAAAAAGATCCTCTACAAAAACCCACAGCTAATGTTATCCTTAACGGTGAGAGACTGACATTTTTCCTCCTAAGATCAAGAGCAATACAAGGATGTCTTTTCTTGTACTTTTATTCAATGTTGCACTGGAGTTTCTAGCCAAGGCAGTTAGTCAAGAAAAAGGAGTAAAGGAAGGAGTTAAAAAGAAAAGAGTAAAACTGTATCTAGTGCAGATAACATGGTCTTCTATATAAAAAAAATAGTAGGGAATTCACTAAAAAACGATTAGAACTAATGAGAATTCTGCAAGGCTGCAATGTATGAATTCAATATTAAAAAATAAAGTGTATTTCTATATACTAGCAATGAACAATCCTGATAATAAAATTAAGCAAGCAATTCTATTAATAATAGCATGAAAAACAATCAAATACCTAAGAGTAAGTTTTTTTAAAGTGCATACTTATACTATGATTACTACAGAATGTTGTTGAGAGAATTAAAGGAGACACGCAGGTGGAAAACATCCCCTGTTCATGGATCAGAAGACTTAAGATTGTTAAGATGGCCAATTTAATCTACAGAGTTATTGCAAACATTATAAAAATTGCACACTTCTATTTTTGTGCAAAATTTTATAAGCTGATTCTAAAATTCATATGGAAATGAATGGGAGTCCAAGGAGTGAAAACAATTTTGAAAAAAAAAACAAACTTGGAAGACTCGCACTTCCTAGTTACAAGAATGAGCACGCTCGATACACCACAAATTTTGGATCTTTATGATGATAAAAGGGTTGAATTTAATATTAAATAAAGCTAATATAAAACATTATTCACCAGAGATAGTAATATATTATCAAGCAACGATCATTTTTAAAAATTTTTCTTGTTTTTTACTTGTGTAAATTTAAGAGGACAATCATAGGTTTAATGAGTACAATCTATTTTTAAATTTCATGTGATAAATCAATTTACATGAAATTATGATATCAGAAACAATCTGACTATGATACCTGACACTTCACTGATCACTAAGGTTAATTCCACTTAATCTTCCTGGTTCTGCAGATAATCTCCTCCATCCCTTGTCTTTCCATGATTGCCATGTGAAATCATGAGCTTGATCAAAAGGATGACTTTTCCACTTAGAAAGAATAGTCCTTGAGTCACTATCTCACTATCATAGTTGCACTGTCTCATCATGTCATACATATTAATGTTGGCCACTTATTTTGAAGGTTGACCAAAGGTTCTTATTGAGATATATGATATAGTCAATTAATGTTGTTATACTGATTCTACTACATTTATTCAAAGATATATCATACTTTATTATTCCACTCATGTCTGTTTCTCTTTTCTGTTCCTCAGGTATTATGTCTCACACATTTACAAGTCCTAAAACTGAGAAATAATCCCATCAAAGAAATTCCTTCTGAAATTCAACAACTTAAGTTCCTTAGAATTTTCAACATTGCCTTTAATATGATTACTGTTCTTCCACCTGGGTAAGGTTGTGACTCTGAGATTATAAACATGGAAAGTAAACAGTTTATAATTCAGAAAATGATCAGTTTCCCTTCTGAAAGCAGCTAGAAGCTTTTTAGCTATATAGTAATTCTAATTAGCTGATTTGCTTCTTATTATGGTATTAAAAACAATCCTACCAGCTACATAGATGGCAATTTATATGAATCTAGTGAATATACATCTAGAAATCTGTTATCTGGGTATGGATTAAATGAAATGAAATTATTCAGAGCAGCTCATTGGAGAACTTTGTATCTATCTCTTCACTGGCTTTTTGGATACTGGAAGAGCATTGAACTAGGAATTAGGAAATCTAAACCTTTGATTCTGAAGTTGATAATAATTATCTATCTGATCTGGAGAAATTAACAAACATTCTTGGCCTTAGCTTCCTAATGTAAAAACTAAGACTGGCTTACATAATATCCAAGGCCATTTTGATTCAATAGGAAAGCTAGTATTTGGGCATAAAAGATGGATTTCTTCCCACAAATAGATTGGTAGTTATTTAATTCCTAATGAAAGTTTTAAGCCAAAAGAGTCAAGGTTTAAAAAAAAGTAAAATAACTCTTGAGATTTCTAGTTAGAGTGAAATAACAGTCATGTAAAATACATTTATTGAGTATTTACTAAAGACTAGGCTCCATCCTAAGAGTTGGGTTTAGATTGGTAAATGAAAGGGGTATGATCCTTTCCTTTATCAATTTTAGAATCTGGGGTAGGATGCAGGAATTTTAATAAACATCCACGATAAATTTGTAAATATGAAGCATTCTAAGAACTATGAATGAAAAGAACATTTTTCAGGAGGAATATGAATTAAATTGAGTTGCTAAGAAAGATGTATCTGAGAAAACAACATTTAAGCCGAAATTTATGAATTCATGCCAAGAATAGGAAGAAGAACAATCATACAGTGGAAATAACATACATGAAGCAAGTAGGCAAGCAGGAGTTTGAACTCTTTAAAGACTGGAAGGAAGCTAGCATGGCTCTGGGTGAAATGGTGTGTGGCCCCAAGTGAGGTTCAGGAGTTTGACAGGGACTACATCCCATGAAGCTTTGGAGGTCAGGTGAAGACATTTTTATTTTATTTAAAGTGCAGTGAGAAGCCCCTGGTTGGTTTTAAGCAGGAGAGTGACAAGTTTAAAGCCAAGAAGTTTTGAAGGAAGGAAAACAATGAATTTTATTTTAGATTAACATGTTGGTTTTGGATTGTGTTTTCCATCACAAAGTTGGACTTAGACATACAAACCTCATAGGAGAATTTTGGGATGAAGATAAAGATTTTGAATAATTAAATCTGAAATCAAAGAGAATGAGTAGAGCAATCTTCGGAGGAGATAATTCTGGAGAAAGATCAGTGTTTCAGACACACAGATAAAGAGAAAATTATAAAGACTGAGAAAAAAATGCTCGAATTGCATAGAGACAGGTATATAACGGAAGCCAAGCAACTAGATTATTCTGAAAAAGAAGAATGACCAACAATGCCAAATACAATAAGGAAACTCAGTAAGATTAAAGTTGAGAACACTTTCAGTGGAATGGTAGGAGCAAAAGTCAGTTTGTAGTGACTGTTTAGATGGAATGGGAAGAGAGGAATTGGTAATAATGAGCGTAGACCATTCATTGGAGAGATTTGGATGCAGTGGGAGAAAAGGGATTAGATAAAAGCTAAAGTAAATGTGGGATCTTAGCGACATTTTTGTTGTTGGTTTTTTGAAAATTCAAGCACATTTACATGATGACAGAAATAAACCAGCAGGGAATAGATTGAAGATGTGGGAGAAAGACAGATGGTACAAAATTTCACAAGAGATAGGAGGGAAAGAAGTCATGGGCCCAGGTAATGATTCTGGTCTTGAGCACACCTTTTCTCCTAAAACTGGTGGTAGCATCTTAGAATGAATATGGAAAATATATAGTTGTATTGGTAAGAAAACAGGAAATTCATTTAGTCTACAAAGATATATTTATCTCTAATTATGTACCAGTTGGGGGAGATTAGTCTAAAATGGCTTAAATTAAGATCACTATTTTTCCTTTTGAAAAAAAATTATGATAAAGATGTGGGGTACAATTCAGGGTTAGGTATACAAATGCTGATTATGCAGGTACCCTTGTTGATGAGGTATGCCCCTCCCTCCCCTAGCAGTTTCCCTCAGTTGCCAATTCCACCTCTCTTCCCCGACGGTTTCCCATTACTGCCAATCCCTTTCTTATAGTATTATAATTGTTCAAGGTCCACTTATGAGTGAGAACATATGGTACTCTGTTCTTTGTTTCTGTGATGGATCACTGAGTATGATCAACGCCAGATCCATTCAAGTTGCTGCGAAGTCCATATGTTTGTCCTTCTTTATGGCTGCACAATATTACATTATGTATATCTACCACAATTTTTTTTATCCAGTTCACCTTCAATGGGCAACATTGTTGGTTCCATGTTTTTGTTATTGTGACTAGAACTGCAACAAACATGTGTGCAGGTATCTTTTTTGTAGAATAATCTGAGTTCCTCCAGGTATATTCCCAATAGGGGAATTGCTGGGTCATATGGAAAGTCAATTTCTAGTTCTTTCAGGAATCGCCACAATATCTCCCAAAGAGGTTGCACTAGTTTGCATTCCCACCAGCAGTGTAGACGTGTTCCTTTTTCTCTGCATCCTTGCCAGCATCTGTTGTTGTTTGTTTTATTAATGATGGTCATTCTTACTGGGTTTAGGTGGTATCTCAATGTGGTTTTAATTTGCATTTCTCTGAAAATGAGTGAGGTTGAGCACTTTTTCATGTGTCTGTTGGCTGCCCGTATGTCTTCTTTTGAGAAGTGTCTATTCATGTATTTAAGATCATTTTTGAGAGCAAGAAGAGTGAGGACTGAAAAGGAGTTTTAAAGTTGTGATGATTTAGTATTGATGTTCAGGAAATGGAAAAGAACAAAGCATAGAAGAATGAACATTTGAGAGACAGTGCTGTGGGCAAGTCTTGTGTCTCATGGAATGGGTTCTGATGATATACTTGGGAAACCCAGGAGTTTCTTGAAAATTTTATACTAGCAGAAATGTTGCCAGAGTGTATCAAAAGAAACAAAGCGAGCATGAAATACAAACAGCTGTCAGATTCCAAAAATTATATAGGCAGGAAACCACTTTCATTAAAAGGGGAAGATGATGTAGAGGGTAGAGCCAGGAACCCAGAGGGATGAGGCAAGGAGCCCGGAAGGTGAAGTTGATATTCCAGAAGACAGACCCAGGAGCCAGGATGCTGGTGATGATTATCCCCAGACATTAAAACCAAACAAAGTTTACCCGGTTGTATTTCAAAATTGCTTGAGATGGGTAACTCCTGTTTACCTTTCATTTTCTCTCTTTTCAACCACAATGTCTATAACTGTTACCCTATGCCTGTCACACCATTGTATTTTGGGAACAGATGACTTGTTTCTTTAATTTGACAGACCCACAAATGGAGAAAAATTGTGCTTCTGTCTGGGTTATATCTGGAGCCTCACCTCCACCTAATTTAGATGATGAGATAAAGGACTTTCGAGAATTAGTTGAGATGTTAGACTTTGAGTTGGTGCTGTAATGAGCTAAGACCTTTGGGGGGTTTGGGATGGATGAATGTATTTTGCCTGTGGCATGGATATGAATCTTTATAGATGAACTATTATAGGCAGAATAATGGTCCCCAAAGATGTCCACATTCTAATCTCCAGAACCTGTGAATATGTTATGTTACATAGCAGAGGGAATTAAATTTGGAGATGAAGTTACGGTTTCTAATCAGCTGATCTTAAAGTGGAGAGATTATGCTGGATTATATGAGTGGGCCTGGTTTAATTACATGAGCTCTTACAAATGGAAGATGGATGATGAAGCAATTGTCAGAGAAATGCCACATGAGGACTTGACTTGCTGTTGCTGGTTTTAAAGATGGAGGTTAAGGGGGCCTTGAGTCAAGGAATGAGGCAGCATGTAAAACCTACAAGTGGCTTTCAGGTATCAAGGAAACCAGAACCTCAGTTCTATAGCCAGAAGGAAGTGGATTCTGCCGATAACCTGAATAAGTAAGGGAACAGATTCTCCTGAGAACCTCTAGATGGGAATGCAGCTCTGCTAATGCCTTAGTTTTAGTATGGTGAGGCCCATGTTAAACTTCTAACCTATACAACTATAAAATAATAAATCTGTGTTGTTGTGAGCCACCAAGTTTGTGTCGCAACTTGTTATGGCTGTAATAGAAAACTAGTACAAAACCAGTCACATATTTCTACTCCTGTGGGGTTTACATTCCCACAGGTAAAGACAGTCAATAAGCAATGTATATAATACATAAGTTATATAGTATGCTAGGAGGTAATAAGTGATGCGAAAAAATAACATAACTGTAAAAGGGAGTGAGAGCAATTTTAAATCAGGTAGATAGGGTAGGCCATATTGAAAAAGGGACATTTGAACAAAGTGGGGGGTTAGCAGTATAAATTTAGCATTTCAAGTAAAATTTAGCATATTTTATTAAATAAAACAATTGGTTACCCAATTTGAAACCATAATGTTAGAATTTACACTAAGATATGTACTTTTTCTAGCTATTATCTGACAGAAGAAAATGGCTGTTTATTTAGTGACTAAGCATTGTATTTAAAAGATTGTTTTTTTCCTGTTCTTCTCAATATTAGTCTAAATTTTTCTTGTAGTTTCCATACATTAAAATAAATCTATGTATATTTTCCCCGAGATATATTATTTTGGAAACTTCCCAAAGTTTTTCTAAAAATACGATGGAGCTCTTTCACTGTATATCTTTCCATTCCTAACTAGATTCTTCTAGTTTCATGAGACTCAAAGTGATATAGTAGAAAAAGCAGGTACTTCCAAAGGCAAGGTCTGCACCTTAGAAGCTATAAACTTTGGCAAACCACTGATCCACTCTTTTTTTTTTTTTTTTTTTTGAGTTAGAGTCTCACCCTGTCGCCCAGACTAGAGTGCAGTGGCTGCTCCCGGCCACCGCAGCTTCGACCTGCTGGGCTCCGGCGATCCTTCCGCCTCAGCCTTCCAAGTAGCTGGAACTACAGGCGCACGCTACCACGCCCGGCTAATTTCTGATTTTTTGTAGAGATGAGGTACTTTAGTGTCTATATGAAAGTTTAGAGAAATTGCACTTGGTTTTAAGGCTTTTAAAAAAATTAAATAAGAAAATTCTGTAAATTATTTTAACAATCTTTTCAATTGTTTCTACAGATTATTCTTTTTCCCTTGACCTGAATTTCTAAAACAAAATAAAATAGTCAATATTTTTGAAATTTTATAACAGTGGATTTTTTCGATGTGAGGCAAATTAGAAGTTTTTAAGAAAAAAATCTATTTGGTTCAAGCATAAGCTGAGGACTAAATTTTGCTTCCTAACATTTTGCTTTGACCTGCTTAGGGTATACAGTATGAGGCAGCATAGAGGCAGGAAAGCACAGGCCTTTGAGGCAGAAAGAACTGGGGTTTCACCCTAGCTATGCCCTTTACAGACTCTCAACCATCTATGTATCAACATTCCCTTACTATGTGTAGAGTTTTGTAACTATGAACAACTCTTTGATTTGTCTTTTTAACTCTGTTATAAAAAATGAAGATTAAAAAAAATTTCAAAAATCCAAATGATTTTTTCTTTTCCCAAAGCTTTTGAATAGAATAGATAAGAAAAGGAAGAAAAGAATCAGGGAGAAACAGAAAGGAAAGAGACATGTTTTGGTGATGTCTTTACCCCTTAAGTGAACAAAAAAACATACTTCATGAACAAATACTATTTACTACAAAAACGATTTTTAGACTCAAATCCTGAGTTTAGGCAGAAATAACTCTTGCAAGCTAAAACAAGCAAACAAAAAGCAGTTATCTTTTTTTCTCAGTGGATAGCAGAAGAAAAATGACACGGAAAATTGCTACTTTTAAGCAACACAATCAAATTTTTCCTTGTTTGTTTGAGTCAATTTGCTTTAATTGGCAGGAAGTTTCTTTGGGAAAGAGAAGCTATTTAGAATAACAACCTACTTAAAAGCCCTATATCAAGAGCCAGTTCTGAAATTGCACACATTTATTTTCCATATTGTTATCGATTAAAGAGAGGAATAAATTACTTTGTCTCTACATATCTGAAGAAAAGGGATAATTATATTTAATTTCATACTTACTTGGAAAGTTATGTAACCTCTTGCAGCTTTTATTTTTTTAATCCTGCAAAAAATAATGACAATTTTGCAGTGTTGTGGTAAAAGATTATTCTAAATTTCCATGAGCATATAGTAGCTTATTAATAAATGAAATATATATATTGCTGTGGTGGTCATCACTGTTAATACTAGTGCTGGATAATGTGCTAATAAATAAAGCAATGAAATAAATGTGAAAATTCTAAACATCCTCACAAAAATGTGATAGATTTGATGCTCCTGGGGTATACAGTATCTGTGCAAACTGAGGCTGTCTGAACAGATTTTCTCTCTAGAATCATGATAAAATTGAATCCCTGGCTTCTAGAGTTTCATATTTTTAGGAAGCTGGAATTTTTTGCACAATGTGAAAGATGCTATGATAGAGGTAAGCAGAAAAATATAAAAGAGGCATCTCACCCAATCCAAAGGACTCAGGAAGAGTTCCTTAGACAAGATGATATGTGAGCCAAGACATAAAAATGAATAGACAAAAACCACAGAGTCAAGTTTGGGGGAATTGCATATGGCATTTAGAGATATGTGAGAACTGGTTAATTCAGGAAGTTTTAGTAAATAAATATCGAACCAGAGGGGGCTATGGGGGAGTGTGGGGTGGACTGGACAAATACTCTGGGGCTGGATCATGAAGCTCGTTATATACCATCCTAAAGTAGTGAGGTGTTAGTAAAATGTTGTGCTTACGGAACCTTAGTCAATGATCATGAAAACAGTTTTTCATCTTTTATGTATATGGAAAACAGGAGGGTATTTGAAAAACAGCACACATAAAACAGGAGATGTTTACTGGAGATTATGATGACTATCATATTTAGCCTTTCAAACCTAGACTTCAAGAAATAATTCCCACTCCCATCCCCCAGGAGTTAGGGCTAATGACAGCATAACTCTGTGTTATTTGTACGTTGTCCTTGTATTCTTTGTTTCTGACTTTTTGTGCTCACGCAACACAGATGTAATCATTCTTACTCTTAAGAACTTATCTTGATGGGCTGGAAGAAAGATATTTTACTAGGATGATCTTAATGCAATTAATTGTACTGGATTGAGTAGTGTTCCTCCAAGGCTCATGTCCATATAGAGCCTCAGAATGTAACCTTCCATGTAAATAGAGTCTTTGTTAATGTAACTAGTTAAATTAATATAAGGCCATACCAGATTAGGGTGGGCCCTAAGTCTAATGGCTGGTGAATTTGTAAGAAGGCCATGTGAAGACAAAAGCAGAGATTGAAGTTATGTAGCTTCAAGCTAAAGAATGCTGAGGACTGTGGGGAACCCCAGAAGCCAAGAGAGAAACAAGGGACAGTTCCTCCCTTAGAGCCTCCAGAAGGAACCAGTCCTGTTGGCACCTTGATTTTGGACTTCTAGCCTCCTGAATTGTGAAAGAACACATTTCTGTTATTTTAAGGCACCATGATTATAATAATTTTCTATGTTAGGAAACTAATACAACCAAGAAAAAATACATCTAAATGATGTTAAAAATTTCTCAATTGCCTTCTTATAAATGAAACTTTGTTTACTCCAAACATCTCAAACCAGTCTTCATGGATAGATGAATAATTTTAGAAACTTTCTTGATATTCACCACCTATACTGGAGTCTATATAAATTTCAAGATCTAGAAAAATATAGTTTCTCTGTACTATTACCTACTTAGTATTTATTTATTCCCAATGATGGCAAATACACAATCATTTTTACAATCAATTTTCTATTTCTATTTAAGGTTATTTGCCTTGTCCCGTCTTGAAGAACTTGATGTTTCCTACAATGATCTTACTTTTATTCCAAATGAAATCCAGAAACTCAGGTATTTTGGAAGTAGTAAGTACGCAGAAAGTCATAAGTCCCTTAATGATATATTTGGTCATGATTATGATGGAGAAAATTGAATTCTTTCATTTATATAATAGCCATAAAATGAAATAAAATTTTAAAAAAGCATAAAGTTTACCAAAAATGTAATTTTATTGTTTACAGTGATTTTTAAAAGTTATTTTATTTTAGATTCAAAAGGTACATGTGCAGGCTTATTACATAAATATATAGTGTGTGATGCTGAGGTTCAGACTCCTATTGAGCCCGTCACCCACATGGTGAACCAATGTGTTCAATCCTTACTCTCCTCCTTCCCTCCCATCTTTAAGATTCTCCAGTGTCTGTTGTTTTCATTCTTGTGCCCATATGTATTCAGTGTTTAGCTCCTACTTAGAAATAAGAATATGTGGTATTCAGTTCTCTGTGATAATTCACTTAGAATGATGGCCTCCAGCTGCATCCATGTTGCTGCAAAGGACACAGTGTATATAGTATTTGTAAGACGTGACATTTTAAGTAACTATTTACAGAACAGTACAGATAACCATTTAATAGAATGACAAACTACTTTTATGTCAATTTGTCTATGTGTGTACCTGTGGCTTTTATTTGTTTCATATATGTTTTGTAAGGAAGTACATATACACAAAATGCTAATAATATACAATGCAATTTTAATGCTAAACTCTGATTCTTTCTCACATTAATTTTTTAAATAGCCTAATATTATCTATGTCTTTCTAATTCAGTACCATACTATTTTGATTATGACTTTAATAGTAGTCTAACTATTCTCTTTAGGGCATAATCTTTAAGATCATTTTGTATAATTTCCAGCCTCTCTCACAACACATATAAACACTAAGTTGAGATTTTAATTGCAAGTGTCTAGGGTTTACATAAAAATTTGAGAGAATTTATGTTTTTGATAATACATTTTTCCACTCTGAAACTTTTTTCATTTTTCAGATTTTATGTTCTTCATAAGAATTTATAGCTCACTTCATATTTTTAGTACCTTTTCTAAGGATTTTATAATTCTCTTGTTATTACTGTGAATGTAATGTTTATCTTATTTCCTTTTCTAACTGGCTATTGCCAGTATTAAATAGAAAAGCAACAGACCTCTTTATACTAATTTAATACCACCCCATATAACCAAGCTCTCCTACTAGTTCTGATTTAGTTTTACTAGAGTTTCTCTTGTTTTCTAGGACCATAACCATACCTTTAGCAAAATGAGATGATTTTATTTTTGCTTTTCTAATGTTTATGCCAATTATTAAATTTTCCATGTGACAGGAGAATTCAGCCTATTCATTTGTTATGGCCAATATATTAAATTTTTTGCCTTCCATTTTTGTATTTGGTATTTATTTACTTTCCCCTTTTCCTGTTTCCTTTTTTCACCCAGGATGCTGTTTATTCTCTTTTGTCCTTCCTTGTTAACTTTGGAGGTCTATTATACTTCCTAATCTTATCTTCCTAATAGGTATCTTTCCTTCTGCAAAAGTCATGATCAAATACATTTTTCTTTAATATTTTAAGCAAAATAAAAGCTAGTTCTCCCACCACAATGGTCTGTCTCCCCACTACTGCTTTCCACTGACAGTTGAGAACTTTAGAATATTTTTATTTTTCTGCTTTCCCTCCAAGCCCATCTGTCCCTTATCTAACTGTAGGTTTTGCTGAAAGAGTTTAGAAAGTTTTGTTTCAGATTTACATTAGTATTTTCCTCTGCATCATGTCTCTATTAAATAATGGTTATTTATCACTTAAATTTCACAAGCATTTTCAATTATTCTCCTTTTATATTTAACTGTATGTATTTCAAGATTCATTGTTTATTGCTGTTTTCTCTCTTTTACCTCATCTTGAATTTGGAGGTATCTCTTTTGATTCATTGGCTGTTTAGAGTTTTTTCTTAAGTACTTACCACATATGGAATCCATGGGTAATTTTTTTCTCTGAATCTTAAACCTAACAGATAAATGATGTCACTTATGGGTGGACATTTGATTGTCCACATAGGGCTTGTATTAGTCAGCTCAGGCTGCTATAACAAAATACAATAGGCTGAGTGGCTCATAAGCAAACAAAATTTATTTCTCACAGTTTTGGAGGCTGGGAAGTCCAATATCAAGGCACTGACAGATTCAGTGTCAGTGTCTATTCCTCATAGACAGCCATCTTATCACTCTAACCTCACATGGTGGACGTTGTAAACAAAACTGAGTCTCTTTTATAAGGGCACTAATCCTGCTCATGAAAGCTCCCTCCATGACCTTGCTACTTCCTGAAAGCTTAACCTCCAAATACTATCAACTTGGGGTGAGGATTTCAACATTTGAATTTTAGAGGGACACAATCATTCAGATCAGCTCTCTGCTGCTGTCCCCTCGGCTTGTATTTTGTGCAGAAGATAGAGGTGACTATGCCAGATCTCTCCTTCAGGATTGAAGCAGAGCCTGGGGTTTTGCTCATCTTTTCTAGACCATGATACATTCATTAGTCAAACTGGGGTGAGGGATGAAGATAGCTGAGGAGTCATCTTTCTATCCTCATGGTTTTAAATACCCCCTTTGATGATATTTTAATATTATCAGCAGGAGTCATAAAGAACTTAAATTGTGTGGGTGTAAGATGTGATTCTAAACTTTAAATGAGACTCTAGAGGCCTCCAGCTGCTCATTACCTACAGTCCATATATCAGTCTCTTCACCTCTAATGCATTTGACAAAGTTGGACTAGGCTTTGATTTGATTTTTATGTGTCCCTCATGAACAGTCACTTTTCTGTCTGCTTCCAGCACCAATTAGAAAGGTAATAAGTGACTTTACAAAACACCACGGAGGCAAGTGAAAATGGAGAAAATCAGTATTATTGGTTCTCATTAAATAAAAGAGTAAAGGTTATTAGAAGCAATTGACACAGGAAAACCCAAGGGACTAAGGTGATGAAAAGTCATGGTATAGCATAGCACATAATACATTTTGGTAGCATAAATTTCACTATTGTAGTTCAGCTTGAATGAAAAAACATGTGTTTGTGTTTAACTTGTCCATGAAAACATATTCCTTCTGTGTATCATTATAATATACTATATTTTATATAATATGACATTCATTAGTTGCTGTTTTTGTGGATGTTATTTCTTTCTTCATAGTGATGACATGTTGCAAAAAAACCCAAATACATTCTTAATGTATGCTATTTTCCCAAACATACTCATTTGCTTAGTAATTATTGGTTCAATTGCTTTATAAATAAATTCTCTTGATTCTAAAAAAATTTAAATGCATACTTGTATTTTATTGCTACTAGGTTTGATACCAATATTCAAGAACATTTTGACAAAATTGTACTTCAATATTATATGTTCTGTTAATACCTTTAAAAATATGGTTTTCTTTATTTACAGGTCACTTGAAAAACTAAATGTTGATGGGACTGAACTGAGTTTTTTTCCACATGGAATTCTGAAGCTTAACTTGACAAGAATTCAGTTTGAGAATAATTTCACTCATCCCTGTTTTTGGAAAGAAAATTCTTTAAATAATCCACAACAACTTACTCAAATTATTTCTTTGTTTATTGTCAGAAATAATCTACATAATCTTTATGATGATGTCCCGGTGGAAGTTCAAAAGTTACTAAAGTGGTAAGCAAATGCTGAAGTCCTTTTAACCAAAGCACATTTTTGAGCATTTAAAATTTAAAATGTTCTACATTACAGGCCCAGATGACAGTTTTACTAATGCACGTACACACACACACACACACACACACACACACACACACACACTCTCTCTCTCTCACACACACACACACACACACACACACACACACACACACACACACACAAAACCCTACAAACAGAACATACACAGATTCTTCAAATTCCTCCTTCCAGCTCTTCGAGTATAATAATGTAGACTAAATTCACCCTATTTTAAAATATTCTTAGCCAGGTATGGTGGCTCACATTTTTGGGGGCCGAGGCGAAAGGGTTGCCTGAGCCCAGGAGCTCGAGATCAGCCTGGGCAACATGGTGAGACCTTATCTCTACCATAAAACAAACACAATAATTAGTTGGATGTGGTGGCGTACTCCTGTAGTCTCAGCTACTTGGAAGGCTGAGGTGGAAAGATCTCCTGGGCCTAGCAGGTTGAGGCTGTTGTAGCCATGATTTTGCTACTGCACTCCAGTTTGGGTGACAGAGTGAGACTGATTCAAATAATAATAATGATGATGAAAATAATATATTGTAAAATATTTATTAATTAAATCCAGTGTGAAAATGTGAGTTGCTGATGGATGGCTAGCAAGATCTATGGCTGTTGTGTCAATCTTTTCTATAAATTACTAAGTACATAGCAGTGGGTTCTTCCCCAAAAATTGTTTAGTTTCAGGCACACTATGCAGGAAATGTTTTACTCCACTCTGACATAGAGACCATAAGCATGGAGCAACTTTTCTCCCTCAGGTATTAATGACTAGTGTTGGAATCATTGCCTAATCTCAGGACTAGGGTTCTTAAACTCCACATTCTCACAGTCCACTTAGGCTTATATCATATTTCCTTCAGATGATATAAGTCATTGTCCCTGAAATACTGACTACCAGTGTTTAGGTTTATGAACAAATATTTACTGTATGCCTAAATATAATGGTTTCCCAGGAATATATGAATTACCAATATTGACTCAACAAGAGGCAGAAAACCTGAATAGACTAGTAACCATCGGAAAAACTTCAAAAAGTTGTTAAAAATCTACTAATAAAAAAGGAACCGGGTCCAGAAGTTTTTTTATTTCAATGTATTGAGATGTCAGTGTTTGTGATTGCACATGAGAAAGTAAGAAAAATCTTAAGGGGCAAAGAAATTTGTAAAGAATTAAACCCCAATTAGTGAGTGGTAAACCATATGGGACCATAAGATTTGGATTCACCACAGGGTAGGGAAGCTGAGATTTCTAAATTAAATTAGACCCCAAAAGAGGCTAAATGGTCCCAGAGCAGTGAACTCTCTCCCAACAGAACAAATATTTTTGAGGAAAAAAAAAAATCTTCAATGAACACTATAAAGATCCTAGAAAATTAAGATGAATGTTATCTTAACAATTTAAAGAAATATCCAAATGCATGAGGAAACAAGACACCAAGAATAAAAGTCAGCAAAACAATCAACAGATACTAATCTTCAAGTACCTAAGACGTTAGTATTATTTATGGAAATGGCATTCTTTAGGTGTTTGAAGAGATAAAATATAATTTTAAAAATAGTTAAAGAATAATATATTATCAAATATGACCAGGAAAATATGAAAAAGAAATTTTAATTGAAATAAAATCCTAGAAATAAAAAAATGCAATGGTTAAAATTAACTTGATGCATGAGTTACACAGCAGATTATATAACATGAAGAGAAGTCTGAAGAAATTATAGTGAATATGCAGACAGAAGGCACAGAGATTTGGAGAAAGAAGAACAAGATATAACATACACTTAGAGATTCAGAAAGTGAGAACAGAGAGAAGGGAGGGAGTCATTGTTCAATGAGATAATGACTTCACATTTTCAGAAGTAATGAAAGAAGTGAATTTACAGACATTGAAAGCTCTATGAAAGCTAAGTAAAATACCTTCTAGTGAAACTGAATACCAAAGACAATGATAAGGACCTAAAATCAGTCAGAAAACAATCACTTACAAAAAACAACAAATCAACTACCAGTAACAATGGAACAATGACTGAAAAAATATTATTTTGCTCACAAAACTAATTTTTGAGAATAAGAGAAAAAATGAGAAAACAAAAAAGAGGATTTACTCCCAACTGGGTTTTACTAAAAGAAGTTGAAAGGATGTGCATCATAAGAAAGGAAAATGGCTCGATATGTAAGAAGGAATGGTGAGAAAAGAAATTGGAAAATATGCAGGCAAACAAACATGATTTCTATGAAATAATAATAGCAATGTCTATGCTATGGGGTTAAAAACATATAACTAAAACCAGAATCAAACAGTTAGAAATGTAATTTTTAAAAGATACTTTTTATTATAGGAAGAAAAAACACCTAATGTACCTAGGAATATATCAAGTGAAATATTCCAAGATATTTATGGAGAAGAAAGTTAAAGCTTTATACAAAAGCAAAGAAGACTGAATTAAATGGGGGAAATACACATATTCAAGGACAAGAATGTATATGTCAGTTATCTCCCAGATAAAGCTACACATTCAATGCAATTCTGATGAAAATCTCAATAGAATTTTCTGAGGAACTTTAAGCTGATTCTAAAATGTATATGGAAAAGCAGAGACTTCAAAATAGCCAAGACAAACTCAAGAAAGAAGCCTAACATAAAGGACCTGCCCACCTGACATCAAGACTTACTATAAAGTTAGGGAAAGTAATACAGGTTGTATTGGGGCAAGTAAAGACAAATCAGCCATCAGAAGAGAAAACAGCCCAGTTATGACGTTCCCATGCATATGGGAAAACTTGATATTTCACAAAATAGCATGTGGATCAGTAGGGAAGGGATAGACTTTTCAATATGTGATATTGAGTCATTTGGTCATCCACAAGGAAACATAATAGAATTAGATTCCTGCCATGTCACCATCATATACAAAAATAATTTCCACTTGAATTAAAGATTTAAATATGAAAGGCAAAACTTTAAAGATTTTGCAAGCAAGTATGGGAAACTATCTGTATGTAGGGGAAAACATCTTTAATAAAACACAAAAAATATAAACAGTAAAGCAAAGTTTCTCAACCTTGAGAAAAGAGTAATATTTCCATAAATATAAGACACCATCAATGAAATGAAAAGACAAGCCATCAGCTGGAAGAAGATATTGTAATGCTTATAATAGTTGAAAAATATATATTTAGTAGTACCTTCTTATCCATAAGGAATACATTCCAAGAACCCCAGTGGATGCCTGAAATTATGGATAGTACCAAATCTATATTGTATTTTTTCTATATATGTATACCTATGATAAATTTTAATTTATAAATTAGGTACAGTAAAGGATTAACAATAATAACTAATAATAATATAGAACAGGGCTGGGCATGGAGGCTCACACCTATAATCCCAGCACTTTGGGAGGCTGAGGTGGAAGACCTGCCTGAGCCCTCAGGTTCGAGACCAGCCTGGACAACTTGGCAAGACCACATCTCTACAAAAAATCAAAAAATTAGCTAGGCATAGTGGCACTTGCCTGTAGTTCCGGCTACCCAAAGTGCAAGAGTAGTGATGCTGACATATTGTTATAACTGATCTATTTTATTGTTAGATGTTTGACCAAGTGCAGTGGTTCATGCCCCAAAATCAAAAAATTAGCTGGGCATGGTGGCGTGTACATGTAGTCCCAGCTACTCAGGAGGCTGAAGCAGGAGAATCACTTGAGCCTAAAAGTTTGAGGCTGTGGTGAGCTGTGATCATGCCACTGCACTCCAGCCTGGCTCAAAAGAAAAAAAAAGATGAAATATTTGTTACTGATCTTCTAATGAAAATCAGTCATCCTTGTCCCTCACCCGTTACTCCCAGAGTCATCCAGTGTTACTTATTGCCAAACAATATCATATAGCAGTTATCTTCTGGTGTTTGCCTCCAGATTTTTCAATTGTGGTAAAATACAAGTAACAAAATTTACCATCAACTGTTTAGTTCTGTCAAGTACATTCACATTGTTGTACAACCAATCTCCAGAAGTCTTTTCCGCTTGCAAAACGTGAACTTTATACTCATGAAACAATTCTCCATTTCCTCAGCCTCTGGCAACCAGTTTTCTACTTTCTGTATGAATTTGACTACTTTAGACACCTTGTAGACTCATATAATAGCATGATGTCCTCAAGGTACGTCTATGTTGTAGCATGTGTCAACATTTTCTTCCTCTTTAAAGCTGAATACTATTTCATTGTATGTGTATACCACATTTTGTTTATTCATTCTTCTATCAGTGAACATTCGGTTACTTCCACCTTTTGGCTACTATGAATAATGCCACTATGAACAGGGGTGTACAAGTATCTCTTGGAGAACTTGCCTTCCATTTTGAGGGTTATATACCCATAAGTGGAATTGATGGATTATAGTTTTAATTTTTTGAGGAACTGGTGTACTGTTTTCCACAATGGCTCCCCCATTTTACACTCCTGCCAGCAATACACGTAAGGGTTCCAATTTATCTGTTCTCTCACAAACATTTTTTTTCTGGTATTATTTTTGGTGTGTGTAATTAAGAAAAATTATATTAGCCATCCTAATGGGTGTGGCATGATATCCCACTATGGTTTTGATTTGCATTTCCCTAGTGGTTAGTCGTATTGAATATCTTTTCCTGTGCTTGTTGGATATTTACATATCTTCTTTGTAGAAATGCGTATATAAATCTATTTTAAAATTTGATTGTTTCTGGTTTTTGTTGTTGAGTTATAGAAATTATTTATATATTCTGGATGTTAATTCCTTATCTGATATCTGTTTTGCAAATATTTTCTCCCATTCTGCTGGTTGTCTTTTCACATTTTTTCTTTTTTTTTTCTTTTGAGTAGGAATGTCACTCTGTTACTCAGGCTGGAGTGCAGTGGCATGCTCACGGCCACCGCAGCCTCAACCTGCTGGGCTTAGGTG